AAAAAAAAAAAAAAAAAAAAAAAAGAAAAAAAAAAAAAGTTGTTTTGGTTTATTGCTCACTTTTGACACCGTCCTGGAAGGCTGCGGAGTTGGTGAGGTGAAGCTCTGCCTCCCTCTCGTGCTCCTTGGTGCCATGTGAGGACCTCGGGCCTTTCTGAGCCCCTTTGCTGAGCAGCTTTCTGTCCCTGAAAGGTGCTTTGCTGTCGGTCACCTCCATTTCCTTCCCCACTCCTTGCCCTGACTCTAAAATTTTCTGCCTGGACTCTAATTTCTTGCCGTGGCAAGTCGCACAGATCAACAGCCCACAGCCCAAACCACTTGGTATTTTAAGTATTTTAACTCACTTTTCCTCCAAAGAATACAAGCGCCTGCTTTTTCCTTGCAGTATGGCAAAGGGTTAACAAAATGCTTTAAAGTAAAGCATTGCCTAAAATGAGTATCTTTCATTTCCAAAGAGCCTGAGAGATCCCAAGGCACAGGCAAGAAACACTAGCCACAAAAATTTTGCATCTCTCTCCCTTACAACACTGGCAGTGAAACCTTGTTTGGCTTTATATGCAAGATTTTCCATACCGTGCTCCAACGCAACTCAATTCCACTAAGCCCACATCTTGTTTTTCTACTGACAAAGTGAGGTATGATTCTTGGCTCGGTGATTTTCTGCTGTGGAAGACTAAATGAAAAGATGCTTTTAAAGCTCATTCACTCAACACTCAACCCAAAACCCAGGGGGAGGGTCAAATGGAAATTTGCTGAAGTTATCAGACGAGCTTTCTGCTGTATTTCTTTTATGGTGGGTATTAAGCTGAAGAAAATTAAATGAAGACACAAGTGTTTGCTAAGATACTGTTAAAGGTAGACCAGCCCGATGAGTAAACCAGCCAAGTCATTTAATTTATTTTCTTATAAAAAGCTTGTGTTTGAGTCATTGTGATTCCTAAGGACACAGCTCTTGGTGTTCATTTTGTCTGGACCTTTTAATTTATAACATAAAAGCACCCCACTTTGTAATAAGTGTAGCCACGTCCTTTGCTGTGGTAGGGGCTACCTTGTGTGAGGCCACCGCAGAGCTGGAGCGAGCGGGGTGGGAGATGAGAGGCCAGCATGAGGGAAAACCCCTTCCTCACCCCTGGACCGGCCATCTGAGGGACTGTGGCCACCATGTGCCACAGGAGGAGTGGAGAGGGATGGCACTGTCCCCCCTGGCTCTTTTGGCCCTCACCAGTCACTAGCCAGGGCCTGTCAGCCCTTCCCCATCCCTGCTCCATCCCTGCCCCATCCCTGCTCCATCCCTCCTCCATCTTTGCCCCATCCCTTGATCCATCCCTTACTCCACCCCTGCTCCATCCCTCCTCAATCCTCTGATCCATCCCTCCTCTGTCTTTGCCCCATCCCTCCTCCATCCTTGCCTCATCCTTGCTCCATCCCTCCTCTGCTCCATCCCTGCCCCATCCCTTGCTCCATCCGTACCACATCCTTGCTCCATCCCTCCTCCATCCCTGCCCCATCCTTGTCCCGGGAGAGGCTGGGAGGGCTGCTGTATCCATGTCCATCAACATCTGCCTCCCCCCAGCTCGCTGCCTGCGCAGACACATCAGGACGTGGGTTCCTGGGCGATCTGAAGACATTACCTAATCCTCTGAAACCGGATCCTCCCGTCAGACTCCGGTTGGATGAGAAAAGCTTGCTCTGGCCTGTCTGTTCCTGCTCCAAAAATGTTTCTCTCCTTATGGCAAAGAACGTGCTGTGCACAATTTCCTGCTATCTGGAGGGTGGAGGTGGGTCCCCAAAGACCCCATGGATTAACCCCTGCCTGAAGGGATCTGGTCTTCATGTGCTGATAAATCTCCTTGTTTTTTTTGGGGGGGACCACTGTTTGTCATCTTTCTCTGCTGAAAATTCCCACCTCTTCTGCCCCAAGCTCTCTGCCTTGCCCTTGGAAGAGGCTCGTTGTCAGGAGTTTCCTTCAAGCACATCAAAAGTGTTCCCCACGAGTTTCAGGCTCTGCCTTACAAAGCCTGAACAGCTCAGTTCAGCTGGTTTTTAGCTCTGACCTTACACAGCACCATGTCCCCAAGCACAAACCAGCCTGTGCTGGTGATGGCAGAGGCAGTGGGGTGGATCTCAGGGGCTGATCTGTGGTAGCAAGCAAGGGATGAGCCACATGGAACATTCCCCACTTGCGGAGCCATTTGCACCATCCAGGTAGCTGTGGAGTCACTGTGCTCCCACCCAATAAAAATCTGGAGTGGTGTGAGAGGGTGGAAAAGGTTCTTCAACTGTCCAGTGCTTCCTCTGGCGTGTGTCCCTCCCGTGTCGCTTGGTTTCTGCAGGGACTGTGGCAGGAGAAGGGCTCGGTGGGATTTAGAAAAGGCCCCTGGATGGCTTGGTGGGGTGCACACAGCCCATTTCAGCATCCTTGCTGGGAGCTGGGGGCTCTCCAAGCATATCAGCCTGCTGACAAGCGGGAGGAAGGCCGGTAGGAGAGACAATTTGTGGCTAGCTATTTGCTGTTGTCACTCCAACCATTTTACCTTAAGAGGCAATAAAGATGAAAGCCAATAATAATCAGCCAGCCATCATTTGGGGGGGAAAGGCTATAATTTACTCTGCCAGGGCTGCAGGGAGTCCATCTGAGGCTGGTGTTATTGACAGGAAGTCTATATGGTTTGTTTCTTACAGTACTTACGTGTGCTCAGAGCAGTTGAGGGTGACATTTTTGAAATCTAAAAATATACAGCCGGTAGCAAACTTCCAGCAGCATGGAAAGGAGGCGAAGGATTTATGCCCAGAACATTTTGAACTTGAAGAAAAGTACATTTGTAGAAAAGGTTTTAAAGGGCTCACAGGACGGGCTGCTGCTGGCTGGGGGTGCTGCTGGAGCTGTTGGGTTTCGACCGTTGATGCTTTGCTGAAGGACCATATCCAGGGTGAGACTATTGTACCTTCATGGGGATGTAAATCCGGAACAACACTGCTCAAGTCAAGGAAGTTACAGACAGATCAAACAAAGGAACCAGGTGCTTTTGTGCAGCCCTGGGTTGTAACCCCTAAACCAGGCTGTGCCTCTACGGAGAGCCCTGGGTGGGGTTTCTGTGCTGCTGAGGAGCATCATCCCCCAGACAGATGCCACTGCGGAGTGTAAGCAGAGCACACGGCTAATCCTGCTCCGTGGCTCTGCTGGAACAGGTCAGCCTGTGGCCGAGGGCAAACCCAGCTCTGGTGGGAGCAGCCATGTCCCCTTTGATCTGGTCCAGAGGACAGGGCTGCCTTACATGTGGCTTCCCAGTAAACACGGCAGAAATGATGTTTTTACCCTCAAAGGAAGATGATTCGGATTCTCATTTTCTTCTGCTCAAAATAAGCAGTAACCTTGCTGACAGCAACACTTTCCCAGGAGTACGAGGGCTTGATCCTACGAATCCGGGGAACTCAATGATTAAGACTGGTTGTAGCTTTTCTCACAAGGAGCTTCAAACCCTTCCTTCTCTTCAAGTCATCATCTTGTGGGGGAGGGAGGAGGTGGTTTCAGGAAACACAACCAGTGACTAATCTCTCTCCTGCCTCTGCCAAGGGAGAACAACCAGCCTCGCGAGCATCCCTGCTGCTTGCGAGAGGTCTGGGATGTCAGCAGGGTTATGATTTATGACAATCAATCCATCATCCTTATTTATAGCAGCAGCTCTATGTGAGATTTCTCACACGGAGATTGGCTTGTTCTACAGCCTCGCTCCTGCCAAAATTGTCTCTGGGCCTCCCGACCTTCCTGGGGGGCTTTGCCATGCCTCTGCCATGCCCATGTGGGGAGGACCCATTCCTGCCCCATTCCTACCAACTTTTCCCTTCCTTATTACCTCAGTCATTAGACTGCTTTCTCACAGCCAGAGTTTTTCAAAAAAGGATGAGGACTGCTGAGGTAAGAGGGGAAACAGTCTCTTCTGCCCTGCAGCACTGGGCAGAAACAGAGGGCTCTCCTTCCTAGCAAGAGTGAGCTGCATGTTCCTTTATCAAAAATGTGAACTTCACCTCTGTGAAATGTCCATCTTGACTATTCAAAATACTTTCCTACTTGCCAGCTGTTGTTGTTTGGGCCCTTTTCCATCCCACCGGGATTTTGCATGTTTCTTCTGCTGCTCCTGGACATCCCAGTGTCCACTGGTCCATGTGGGCTGTTGCTGGTTTCCAGCACCCCAGGATCTCCCAGTCACCTGGAAAGCGATGGGGGCATCTAATCCACTTTGCAGCAGAAGGCTTGAAAACTAGGAGTCAGATACCATCCTTAAAGTCCAGAAAAGATGGCAAAGGAATGAGCATATAGGAATGAGCCTGCAAACCCCCTGATCCTGTGACAGCAGAAGGGAGCAGGAGTCTCACAGTCACCTGGGGATCGCAATTACATTTTCTCTCTGATTATCTACAAATGGGCACCCTGGAAACCCTTTTCCCTGTTGCAATACATGGTGACAGTGAGAGAAAGTGTTGCAGCCTCTGTTTAAACCTGAACCTGCTCCCAGTTGTTCGGTCAGCCCCGTTTCTGTGCCGTGATGAATGGAGCCCTGGGACGCGATGCCTGTAACAGCCAAATCACTTACCTTGAAAATGCAAACCTTATGGAAAGCGAATCAATAATTTCTGGAGCCTGGGTTTTGCTGACATGCGGCCCGAGCCCACAGGAAATAAACCCTTTGTTAATCTTTCTCAAGAGGCACGCAGTCTCCTATAAAAAGCTTCTGAAGTAAGTAACTAATTACAGCCTGCACGAGGCTCCAGTCTGTCACCCCCGACAGCTCTGTGGGAGAAGGGGCTGCGGCGCTGCTGGCCAGCATGATGGACGAGTGTGCACGAGCTCTTGGCTTCGCTCTGAAAGAGGAAGAATTAATGGGCAAATAAATTACAAATCAATTATTAAACCTTAGCAGCGTGCAGGGCCCTGTTCAGCCTGGG